AAAATGATAGTTTATTATTCGACTCCTTTCTATTGTGAATTTTATTTCATCGAAGACGTTGTTGATCAGAGTGTAATTGCCTACCGACTCGTCCATTTTGATGATGACGGATGTGTCGTTTACATAACGACTTCAGAAAAGCAATGAAAGCCCTGCAACCAAATTATCCAGACCAAAGAACAAAACTCCATCTAAACAGTTAAATAAATGTTTTGTTTAGTGTACCATAAATTCGTATAACCGGAGTTATTGTTATAATGTATCGCGCCTACAATTAAGTGTTTGTAACCATCGTATTTTATTAAATTTTGTAGATGGGGTTCTAAAATTTTACAAACTACTTTGTGATATAGTCGTAATCTGTGGCAGAAGACCTTCCATGAGGTTACGTGTTATCGTTCTCAGATTGAAATCATGAGTCAACTGAAGCTAGACCACCATGGAAAACCTGGAAACACTGGACGGCCGTTTTGTCCTAGTATGGGACTCCTCAGCAGTGCACATGTACGATCCCGCCTCCCGGAAAACGGAAGTCTGGTGCTTCCAGGTTTTTCATGGTGGTCTAGCTTCAACTGACTCATGATTTCAATCTGTGAAAATTTCTAAAATCTCCACAAACCCCTTCTGATAATTATCGTTCTCAGGTCCCGGGAGTTAACGCTTAACCTGTGAACCGCTGAGCTGTCATCCAACAGTGTTAATACCTAACTTCAACTAATCCACGAACTTGTGCCGCCACCTTCCATTGTATGAGGTAAATAACTATCTCTACCTGAAACGAATTAGCTCCACTGGTTAGGGCGTATCACCAGAACTCCGAGAATCCCCTGAAAAGCTTGTCATTAGTGAGTACATGGTCATTATTAGTTTGGGGTTGTGAGGATTGTTAAGTTTTCGTTTGGGATGATGAATCGATTGACGTTGGATCACCATTGAAAACTTGAAACTACTGCTGAGGAGTCCAATACTAGGACGAAACGGCCATCCACTGCTTCTAAGATTTCAACAGTGGTTTGACATCGATCGATTCATGACCTCGATCAAAAATATGACAATCTCCGCAACCCCAAACTGATACTTCTATTTTTGTTAAAGCTATGGCATAACATCATTCGTGTTTCTCTCACCACCCAGTGATCAATCAATTGTAGATAATAAGTCGATCAAATCAATTATCATCAAACCCTAACTGTTTGGGTAAAGTTAGTGAATAGCTCAAGTGTTTATAGAATTTATATCTTATAACATTTATAAATTGTGTTGATATAAACTACGAATCGATCAGTGGCGATTGATACTCATGTTCAGTTATTCATAATTTAACCAATAAGTAACCAATGTACAAATCATGGTACTGAAGTGAAGTTTATATTCATTAACTGACCTTAGTTATACAACTATTCAAAATAGAACAGCAATGGACATATGTTTTATTGAAGGATAGTATTCCTAAACAGTGAAAATGCACTATCCTATCTAAGTTCATCAGGTCTGGTTATGAAATTAGACGTGTTAACAGTTGAATGTTAACCCGTCAATCTTGAAGTTGTACACTGATCATAAGTTATGCATGCGCAATGATTAGTAGTTTCCTACTAGAATGAAATAACTATCTAGTGTTACTTGATTCTCATTACTTGTTTAACTTAGATCAATCAATGATATAAACCATATGAGTTTATGAATCTTCGTTAGTATTTTCTTATTCTTCATATACCTAGTTATGTTAATTTGTATTATGAGCATAGATATAAAAATAATAATTTCAACAATTGAGATCATGAGTCAATTGAAGTTAGACTAGCATGGAAAAACCTGGAAGCACTGGATGGCCGTTTCCCTCGAGGTGGGATCGTGAATGTACACTGATGAAGAGTCCCACAATAGGACAAAACTGCCGTCCAGTTCTTCCAGGTTTCCCATGGTGGTCTAACATCAATCGGTTCATGATCTCAACCGCTGAAATTCATACAATCTCCACAAAACTCCTTCTGATAATAAACATAATAAATCTAGTATGATTACATAAGAAGCTTTATCTCATATAAATGATGTTGTGTAAAAGAGAAATAAAAAAATTAAAAAAAAATGAGATAAACTATTCAACATTTTGAGGGGTAGAAACTCCATTTTTTAAATTTTTGTTTAAAAAGGTGACTGATTTATCATTAGTAGTATGGAGATTACATTGATTAAATAAGATTTAGAAAGGATACTTTCCATTTATGAAGGAAAAACAGAGACATGGATACAAAACATACATACTCAGTTATATTTCGATTTAAACACAAATATACACACATACATAGATACATACAGATATAAACCAATCAGATTTCTATCATTGAAATTCAATTCAATTACAATATTAGTGATGATAAAGGATAAGAAGATAACTCAATCTGTAACCGAGTAATGAAAATTCTGGAGAAGAAGAAAATGTAATAATCACTTAAGATTTAGAGGTGGATTAAAAATAAATAAATTTGTATCTCTGGTTTATACAATTCAACATATATATATATATATATATTCATTTGAGATAAAGATTGTACGATTCAAGTCCTAGAGTGAACATTGACTCTGAGATACAGGTACATCTAGCTGATGAGTCCCAAAATAGGACGAAACACATATCTTGCATTGCACTGTCAGCCACTATTCATCTTTTCTTATAATGCTTGTACATTAAGGTAATATCGAGGCAATATGCACAGCATGCATATATGCTAATAAGAGACTGGTCAATTTCAGTTCTAAACAACAATGAGAAGATACAAGTAAACAATACCAAGTGAATTTAAACTCCCCCCCCCATTGCACAAGCAAGTGGCTATCAGGACTCAGTAACTAAGTGGATAACGCAATAGTGTTTGAAGCGGACGGTACTGGGTTGGAGTCCTGGAGTGAAAATCAACAAGTCTGAGATGGAGGTACATCTAGTTGACAAGCTCCAAATAGAACGAAATGCTTATTCTTATTATCGTACTTTTTCTTCCAAAATAGAATATTCCATCATCTTAATTTGTTTTCCTAACGTTACTCTACTGCTTTGTGGATTAAACTTTCAAATGAAAGGCTTCAGCTCTGGCCTCCTAAGAAAACCATCTGCTTCTGTTTAGGCTCCTGAGTTGTATCTCAGCTCTCTCATAAATAGAATGTTTTACATGGTGCATATCTATTTGATACTACCCTATAACAATGTTTATGTATTTAAATAATCACTTTATTGAATTCATTTCTTTTAAAAAACTTCTTATAAACGTCTAGTTTAAGTTTTCTAAAGAAATCGAACAGATATTACAGATTATTATGAAGTTAATGAGAAATAATATTAAAATTGTAGTTGTGTATGATTACATCACATCCCATTGTATTTACCAATTTACATGTTTGTGTGGACATACATACACTAGGGAGGAGTAATTGAGCAATGCAATCAAGGGTCAATGAACATGTGTCTAGATGGCTTCAACATCAGTGTGTGTCAAATGATCCGATCACTGTGGGAGGTAGAAAAACCATGTTCATCGATAGCGAAACATTTAATTGAAACGGGGCACAAAATTAACATTCATACAGCTTTTAGAATTGTCAAGGCCAAATTCTTAAGTTTATTGAAGCCGTGGCTATTCGTAAATTTATTCCCCCCCCCTTATGTGTAACCTTGAATTTACCTTGGTAATCCTTAAGTCATTCTATGGCCTAGGATAACGCGACAATTTCTTATTCTTTCTCTCCCCCTTTGTTACTTTTTTACTTGAACTTTCATTTAATTGACCTTTATTAATTTTCATATAAAAATGCCTTGACAAGTATATATGTGTGATTAGATTGTTCAAAATGTATAGCTCAAATACATTACATTTTTCAGATAAATTCCGTTTGAAGCAAATGGTACTGGGTTCGAGTCCCAGAGTGAACATCAACTCTCTGAGATGCAGGTATATCCAGCTGACGAGTCCCAAATAGGATGAAACGTGCGTCCTGGATTTCACTGCTAGCCACTATCTATCATTGCTTACAAATAGCTTGTGAATTCAGGCAATATTGAGGCATACGCACAGTACGCACATATGCCAATAACAAACTGATCAATTGCAGTGTTAAACCTCAATGGGAAGATACAAGCCAAATAATACCAAGTAAATTTCGTCTTCTCATTGTTCTATCGAAATTTATAAAAGAGATTAATTGCTTTAAATTGTAGTTAGCAACAGAATATAGGAGAATGGATTTTGTTCTATATGGGACTTGTCAGTATCTTGTAGGTCATATAGAAGTATTAATGTTTTTTAATTCGATGATTTGTTACCAATACCTATCACTGAAATTTCAAACAGTCCATTCAACAAGTTAATGAGTTCAGATAGTTATTTGTTTATTCAAAAAGTAAAATGTTTCTTGTAAAGATTTGGGTTAATCTATTGAGAATATTAAATCGAGGTATCCATTAGACATATATATAGAAGTCAATAAAGACTGATCATAATTCAATTTTCAATTTAAACAACAGATCAGTACAAAACTAGCCTAATGGATAACACATTGTGACTTAAAGCAAAAGATATATGGTTTAAGTCCTAATATGAACAACAAAATTGTGATTCAAATACATTTAGCTGATAGGATCACCAAAAGAACTAAACACACAACCTAGATTCCGCAGATAACCACAATCCCTTAAAGATTCATATTTAATAACAAAAAGTGGACAAATTTAGTCTTGAGAATCAATAACTGGATAACGAAACTTATTCAACATAAAGAGGACATATAACGAACCAGCAGGTTCTGGATTCAAGTCTAGTAAGGCGGGAACGTGGATACGCACTGCTGAAGTGTCTCAAAATAGAATGAAACGGCCGTCCAGTACTTCCAGGTGTTTCAATGGTGATCTAGCTTCAATCGACTAATGATCTCAATCATTAAATAGAAACTTATTTATTATTTCTAACACAAAAATAAATAAATAAATAAATAGACGATATAATACTTACTTGAAGTCTTTGCCAAATAGAAATTAATCGTTGAGGATTTTCAGGATGATTTGCATCAGTTTGACATGTACAATGATGAGCAAGCATTCCCAAGTCATATGCTAATACTGTAGTGAATGTTGCTTCCTATGAATTGAGAAAATAATAGTATATATAATAGTATATATTCAATTGACTCATTATCTCAAACTGTTTAAATTACTACAATCTCTACAAAATCCCTTCTGATACTAATCAACATATGCTCACTAGTGACTAGTTTCAAGAGGTATATCCTGGAGTTCTAATGAGAAGCAGTGACCAGTGGAGTTCAACCGGGTCAGTTGTGAGATAGTAACTCACTGATGACAATGGTGGATGTGTCACTCAATTTCGTGGATTAGTTGAAATTAGACATTAACACCAGTGGATGCCGGCTCAGTGGTCTAGTTGGTTAAGCACCTGTCGCGAGACTGATATGTCTTGGGTCCGAATCCCATGAGGCATGGTCGTGGATGTGCACTACTGAGGAGTCCCACAATAGGACGAAACGGCCAGGTTTTCCATGATGATCTAGCTTCAGTTGACTCATGATCTCAAACTGTTTAAATAGAAACGATCATTTACATACCAAATTATCTAACTAACTAATCTCTATAAATAAATTATCCTAATGGTAAACATCTGTTCTCTAATAAGTATTATAACCCTGATCTGTTATATGTGTATCATTAATACTGATACTTTAACTCAATGAGATAATATAGCCAAGTTTATTGAAATAAACACAATTCCTATTGTGGTGTGTACTATTTATATGAACATGAGTAGTATGTAACGATAGTTAGGATTAGAATGTCTGGTAGTAAAAGGTTGATAAGGAAAGAACGGAGATAGAAAGGAGTTGGTATTGAAATGAAGGAACAATGAAATCTGAGACGACTAACTGATATTTGCCAAAGGAATAGTCAAATTTGAGACAATTGATTGATATTTTGTAAATGAAGTATTTACTGTATGAGCTCAGTGGTTTAGAGGTCGAGCATTCGCACACGAAGACCGAAAATTATGGGTCAGAGTCTTGCGTGCGGAGTCGAGTATTCGCACTTCTGAAAGTTATCATACTAGGACGAAACGGCCATCCAGTGCTTCCAGCTTTGCAATGATGGTCTAGCTTATATGGACTCGTGAATTCAACTGTCAAGATACTAAAAGTTATTGAAAATTAATTGTTTCACATTCTTCTACTTGGTTCTTTATGATAACTTTTAAACATGATCATCGTTTAAATAAAGTATTCAAAAAGTGAGTCCGTACATTCCATAATGATTAAAAAATGTTGATGGCTTCTACTTATTTATTTGAACACAGATGTATCGGTACAAGGGGGCAGCATCTTCATATGTATCATACAATAATATGAGGCTAGTAATATTTATCACTGATTTGTGTGAAGGCTGTAATACTAGCCGGGTCCCAAAACTGAACCAGGTGGTTTTCTTAAGGAGCCAAACCCAGAGACTTCGACTTGAAAGTCTAATTCAAAAGGCAGTAGAGCATCGTAAGGAGATGCTGTCTCATGGCAGTCTGTGACTACCAATAGGTTGATACGTCTTTTTTTTCCCTCAGGATTATGGAGCCCATTTTCACCATTGGTTTGAAAATAGGGCTTTCCAACTGTCCTAGGTCGACCCTCCATGTCCAACAACACTACTATCAGCCAGATTTGAACTAGGATAGCAAAAAACAAAAAAATTACGGTAGATGGTTGAATGTATTGCGAAATAAGACTTCTTACCTACAATTTGACAAATTACATGTTTCAACTGTAGAGATTTTATTATAATTCAGTAAAACATGACCACTGTCTACTTGAATAGAAAACAGTACTGAAAAAAAGGATTTTTTACACATTTAAGGGATTGTTCAAATCATTTTAAACAATCTGCAGCAGCCTGATTGAATATCTGGACTACTTGTTCCATGCCCTCTAGATATTCCAACAAGTCATCGGTTTTCTCTTTGTTCGGTTTTAACACATCAGAATTGTCTATGAATCACATAACCCAATTCAAGTGAGTTTCTAAAACGTGTACAACCTTTCATTGTACAAGTTACAAAACAGTTCAATCAGAGACAATGTGGTTGTTGGCCATATACATTGAAAAGAATGTACATTATTTAGATATTGATTAATTGGACTACTAACTTGTACCTGACAATTACTCAATAGGTTATCGTTAGGGATCGATGAAGAATTAAGAAATGGGGACTTACTGAAATACTCTGTACTGAGAATTGTATCTTATACCAAAACTATAATATTGAATAAAGCCATTAATAATAACAATAATGATAATCCTTTATCATATGAAATTTCAATGTCTTCATGTAGCCTCCCATTCTTTCTCTTATCTTTTTTTATTAAGTTGTTTTATAACTAATGTAATTCAGCTTCGCTAAGTAAAGAAGATCCTTCATCTTTTTGATTAGAATTAGGCATTGAATGTCGTTACTGTTTAGAACAGTGATAGAACCTTCATAACCAAGCTAGATAGCTGATTGTATGAAATACTATTCATTTTTGAATGATATCATGAACCAATTGATGTTGGAGCACCATTGAAAACCTGGAAGCACTGGACGGTCGTTTCACCCTATTATGGGACTCCTCAGCAGTGCGCATCGACGATCCCGCTCGCGGGATTCGAATCCAGGGCCTTCAGTCTCGCGCGTGAACGCTTAACCTACTGGACCACTGAGCCGGCATCCAATGGTGTTAATGTCTAACCCCAACCAATCCACGAAGTTACGCGACCATCTAACATCAGTCAGTTCATGATCTTAATCAAAAACTTAACAATCTCCACAACACTTAAACTGATATTAATTTTATGTAATTGAGTTCATTTCATATTGTAGTGAACGAGAACGCAAATAAGAACAATCGAATGTATTAATAACATTTGAGAATCATACAGTAAATAGTTCATTTGAAGATATCAGTCATTCGTCTCAGATTTCATTGTTCCTGTTCTCATTCTTTCCTTCTCGACTTTCTCCAGCAAAACATTCTATCCCTGACTATCGTTAAATATTTGTAGGGTGTGGATATAAGTAGCCCATACCACAATGTTTTTGGAATATAAAAAACAAAGTAAAAGTATTTCTGTCATTTGATAGAAAAACAAAATTCATATGCCACCCATATAATTCTTTAATTAAGTAACTTGAATTTTACGAAAACTGACACTAATGTACGTACCCATTAAAGTGATAGAAAGTTTGCCGGTTAAACCTACATTGTAAATAGAATTAATAAGGAAACTAACAAACTGTAATCAAATGTCTACAGCTAATATGACTGTGAAAGTGTAGGTATATAAAGTACATTACTGTCTAACTATCTATCTATCTATCTATCTATCTATCTATCTATCTATCTATCTATCTATCTATCTATCTATCTATCTATCTATCTATCTATCTATCTATCTATCTATCTATCTATCTATCTATCTATCTATCTATCTATCTATCTATCTATCTATCTATCTATCTATCTATCTATCTATCTATCTATCTATCTATCTATCTATCTATCTATCTATCTATCTATCTATCTATCTATCTATCTATCTATCTATCTATCTATCTATCTATCTATCTATCTATCTATCTATCTATCTATCTATCTATCTATCTATCTATCTATCTATCTATCTATCTATCTATCTATCTATCTATCTATCTATCTATCTATCTATCTATCTATCTATCTATCTATCTATCTATCTATCTATCTATCTATCTATCTATCTATCTATCTATCTATCTATCTATCTATCTATCTATCTATCTATCTATCTATCTATCTATCTATCTATCTATCTATCTATCTATCTATCTATCTATCTATCTATCTATCTATCTATCTATCTATCTATCTATCTATCTATCTATCTATCTATCTATCTATCTATCTATCTATCTATCTATCTATCTATCTATCTATCTATCTATCTATCTATCTATCTATCTATCTATCTATCTATCTATCTATCTATCTATCTATCTATCTATCTATCTATCTATCTATCTATCTATATCTGTGTCTAAGCGTGCATGATTGAACTCGAAATCTGTTCTTATTTCAGTGAATACAGTTTTCATTTGTTTAGTATTCACATTACGGAATGTTATATCATTTACATATTAGATTGGTTTGAATTATATTTTTCCGGTTAGCTTTTTTAGTGAGTTAGTTTTCTACGCGATGGGGTCACTAACCCTATGCTCAACCGTCCTCCTTTATCCAGGCTTGTGACCAGTAGTAGACCCAGGGGGGCTCCAGGAAGAGACTAATAATGACAAAAACAAAACTTTCTTAAATAATAAGAATGTAATGAAATACGCCCGGTAGAATCTGATTTTATTTAGAGTATCAAAAAAGCGGTTTTGTGGAGGTTGTAATAATTTTAATAGTTGAGTTCATGAGTTAATTAATGTTAGACGACTATAGATAACGTAGAAGCACTGAATAGCCGTTTCATGGATTGATTGAAGTTAGACAATAACATTTCTAGATGCCAGTTTAGTGGTTTAGAGGTTACGCGTTCGCGCGTCAGACCGGTAGTTCCTGGGTTCAAATCCTACAAACAGGATTGTGGATGCATACAGTTGAGGAGTCCCATACTAGGACGAAATGGTCGTCCAATGCTTCCAGGTTTTCTATGCTGGTCTAGGTTCAGTTGGCTCATGAATTCAACAATTAAAAGTACTACAATACCAGTTTTAAGTTCTGACAGAAGTATGTGTATATGTTGTTTAAAATATGATAAATAAGTCAGGTAATTGGATTTAGTGATTCGTAATACTCTATGTTAAGTGACTGGAATAAAGCATTATCCACCTAAGCCATACATCGCTAGGATTGAATACTGATAGGATATTATTGATCAAGTTGTCAATCCCTACTAAGTTTCTTCAATCAATTAACACGAATAAAACTCAATCTTCCATAAGTCAATAGAATTATACTACTTAACTGTACGATTACAAACGTTGGTATCATGATAATTCAAATCGTGTCTAACTGGTTAAATGACAAGTTAATAACATTGTCATAGTATGTTTAGAATAGAAAG